AATTAATGAAAGCTTTATAGTCGTCTTTTTTAACACCAATTCCGTTTTGATAACATTGGCCAATTTGATACATTCCGGCAGTATTTCCCATATCTGCTGATTTCTGATAATAAATGAATGCCTCAAATTCACCAATTTTCTATATAGGTGAAATCACCTAGTAACACCACCGACATCAAGAAAGAATAGTAAGCAAAACAGTTTAAACCATTTTTTAACCTGTTTAAAACATGTGATGATTAAAGTCTAAATATTGATTTAAATAATGCCCACCTGTTTTTATTATGTAATAAAAACATTCACCATCCCTAATATCAGGTACGTGATCACTGTTTAAAATTCGACTAAGCTTTACTGTTATTTTATAACATAAAACTTACAAAATCACATTTTTCAAAAGGGAATAATCCATGTTTTTATATTTATTTATTTATTTAAATAATAATGGATTTAGCCATTGTAAATATTTAACGAATTACATTTCAATTGGGATATTTTTATGTTCGCGAATGTTAAAAATATTTGACATTCAAATTCTATTTTTCAAAGGCGCAATTCGGCTCAAAAAACTTTAACGTTAAAATAATTACCTATAGATACAGTGGTTCTAAATCGATTATTTTATCAACTCGTGCATTATTAATTAAGCCTTATATTTTAATATTTTCTTAGTCTCTAAATTTAGAAATTTTTAAAGCATAATATAATAAACACTTAAAACATAGTTTCTTTTAACTATTTTTCGATAATGAGAACAGATATAATGTATAAAGAGTAACTCCTACTTAGAAAATTTATATTCAGAGATAAAGAAAATTTCGTATTATAAACCAAATTTATTATCATTAATGACCGTACATGTGTTCCTAGTTTTGGTGGTAAAACTTGGGGCGTCCATATAGGTGTGCTGAAGTCGTCCACATTTCGAAAGCAACTGCACGGAAGATAGTTTAGCAGATTGTTATTGTAGCACAGAAGATAAATTTACTATTAGAGATTGTATGATTACACCGCATGATACATATTATGTAGTGTAATTTTTGGGTTTCCTTTTTACACTTTTAAACTTCGAATAATAATCGCTTGAACTTGTAAATAAATTTGAAATATAGCAATAGATAATGGCTGCGTTCAATTCAGCTGCGTATGATTATCTTATTAAGCTTTTATTAATTGGAGATGCAGGTTAGCATATTTATAATTTTCACTTTATGCATTCATTGTAAATGACGCTATTAGAAATTTATCCTGTAAAATTAGAACTCCAAAGTACATAAAACAATACTTACTGGTCTTTGGATTTTGTTTTACGTCACTCATGAAATCAAACTTTTTTTATTATAAATATAAATTTATTTATAGGCGTTGGCAAATCATGTTTATTGCTTCGTTTCGCAGATGACTCTTTTACGCCTTCTTGTAAAACTACAATTGGAATCGAATTTAAAATTAGAACGATTGTATTAGATGGAAAAAGACTCAAGCTTCAAATATGGGATACTGCAGGCCTGGAGCGTTTTCGCACTATAATAACAGGTAAAATTCCAACTCATTAATTATTTTTTTAAAGCAATCTTTATAATTGTTTCTCTTGTTTGAGCTGACGTTTTCATGCTTTTATAAATAATGTTCTATCTCAAAGCATATTTTCCTAGTGCAATGGGTATTCTATTGGTATATGATGTCACTGACGAAAGATCTTTTAATAGTATCCTTTTTTTTAGTGATACTTTAAAAAAGGTTTTGCTATATAACGTGTTTTATTATTATTTTTGATTATTATTTTATGATTAACTAGACATAAGAAACTGGTTTTCGCTTGTGAAGCAGCACAGTAGTGAAGGAGTCAATATTATCCTTGTCGGGAATAGACGTGATTGTGTTGAAAAAAAGGTAAATCTTTTGTAATTAAACAAATATTTCAAAGAATTCAGCTTAAAATTTGCTTATATAATTTTCAGGTAATCACTAAAGAACAAGGTCGAGCACTTGCAAATGAGTTCAACGTCAAATTTCTGGAAACTAGTGCCAAGGCTAACATCAACGTTGAAGAGGCATTCTTTACTTTGGCCAGGTTTGTAGCTTCATTACTTATTATTTATATCATTAACTATATATTTTTAATTTTATATTTAATTTTTAGGGATGTTAATAAGAGACTCACACATGAGGTAAATATATATCTTTTAAGTAAAAAAGGCATTTGTCTAATTTTTTATTATCATTCAGATATTCTCTCGTTATCAAAAATCTGCTGAAACAAGTGATTCAGAAGGAACGTATAATTTAGGTGATTGTTATCTAAATGGAATAGGAGTTGAGAAAGATGAACATAAGGCATTCACTTATTACCAAAAATCGGCAGATATGGGAAATGCTAACGGAATGTATCAAATTGGCCAATGTTATCAAAACGGAATTGGTGTTAAAAAAGACGACTATAAAGCTTTCATTAATT